TTTTTAAAGAAATGCTAAATAAATCGGAGAAAAGGCACAATAAAATGTTTATTTGGAGTTTTAGCCTGGGTATGCAGAGCATCCCTTGACGGTCCGCCACTGATCAAATATATAAACCTAGCAAAATAAAATAAAAAAATTAATTAAATATTTAACAAAAAAATGAACACACACCAAAAACAATAACCAAGCATTTCATTAATCTCCTTGAATATCTGAGAAGCGTGATTATTATTCTTGTTAAGTGACAATCTCTAATTGTCACATACCTAAATTTCAGTCCAGATTATCAAATTTTGTCACAAAAACCTGTGAAATGCCTAAATATGGTCATGATGACATCACATCATGCCCATATATAGGCACATCATGACTATATATGGGCATACAACAGTTTGGACAGAGCTTCAAAAATGAGGCATGTTGTGGCAAAATGGCTAAGTTGTAGCAAAAATTGAAATACAAGTTATTAGTATTTTCAGATACCTGAGTATGTGATCTTTAAAATGAGGGTCATTCATTGAAATTGGACATTTCAAGCCTAAGTTATTGGAAAGTGAAAGTACAGTACTCTTAGAATCAAGATAAACATGATTTTGAGTAATTGCCTTTAAAAGTTATTTGTGCATACATTGTTTAATAGAATGAACTATCAAAATAACATTAAATAAACAATTTGTTTACCACTTCCAGAACTAATACTTTGGTACATGATTAATAAGACAATAAACTGTTGATAAATAATGAAAAACAAATTTGGATTTTTAGGCAATTTTTTGAGCTCCCATATTTTATAGCTCATTTAGTTAATACTGGCCTGTGCGACAACTTAACCATTTCGCCACAACATGCCTCAAGTCATCCAAAATTGAATAACAAGCAAAAAATTTTAATTTCCATAACAACATTACCTCATCGATGCAAGATTCTTCAATTTGTTTTGGTGCATCTGCTGACAGCAACCCGTGCGTCGCCATCGCGTAAATTTTGTAAGCACCTCGTTCTTTTAGGATCTCCGCTGCTGCTACAAATGATTCAGCTTGATCTATCATATCATCCTGCAAATAGAACGATTGATTTCAGGATTATGAACGATATGATTTTGATTATGATAATGAGAATAATTAGCCACACCGTAATAACCATTTAATGAAACAAGTAGCCTCACTTTCTAAACTACGATAGTATACATCGAATGTGTTATGCGAGGCTTATGATGCTATGCCTCTTTTGGCAGATGGAGACTATCGCCCGCGGGCCCTACTTTTTCAGTACATGGTGCAACAGGGTAAGGGTTTATAACCTCAGATTATCTTGTTATAATATGTGAATGATGAAATAAATGATATTATATATGATGAGGTTGGTTGGTGGTGAAGACATATATAAACTGAGAATTAAAACACATTCTTACCACAATTATTGCAATCTTTCCCCCAACATCACCAACTACATTTATTGGAGGTTTCTCCTTTGGTATCAAAACTGTAGAAAAAAAAAAAATTAGATTCGAAAAAAATTCATACAATTATCAAATTAACATTCAGTAACATACCAAAAGCAATAACCTCCCAATTTTAAATTATCTATTTCATGGACGCACTTTGTGGTGACGACATTATTGAATAATTTTTTCGCACTACAAAAACACTTCAAAGTGCATTTTAAAACTCTGCAAAAAGAGTTTAGTGAAAATTCTTGAAGGTTGGCACTAAAACCAAAACAAATCACAACAATCTATAAGGTTGCTCCCAAGTCCAAAGTAATCCTTTCCCTGTGATCTGGTTAAATGAGCTTCCATAACATAATGTATTCTATTTTGATGTTCATGGTGAAACCTATCGACAATTGATAATGGAGTAGTAAATACATGCAAATATTATGAATTTGCGAGAGATGGGATATTTTCCGGGAGACTCGTGCTTGATTGCGGGTGTGCGGGAGGGCATCCTGAATTCCGAGACATTCCCGAAAATTCTGGGAGACATGAGACCTGTGATATATAATTTGTCTACGTATTAAGTTAGCACCTGGGAGCATCTGCATTCCATCCACTGTTCTCACAGTTGGCGGAGAGTGTCTACCATCAATGTGCTCCGATTCTGTTTCTTTATGTTCCCCATGGATAACTGCTAGGCCTAAGC